TTTTCCCTGGGGTTTTTGGGGAGTTGGGCCCAGCCAGGGGTTTTTGGTTTTTTTTTGAAGATTTGGCTTGCCCAGGGGCCTGGTTACCAGGGAGGATGTGGGGTTTTTTTTGTGGTTTCCCCCCCTTTTTTTTTGGGGGGGGGTTGGGGGGGGGGAAAGATCCTTAGAAAATTCCCCAAGGGCCCCGGAAGAAGCCAGGGGAAATTCGTTCCTGGGGGGAAAGCAACCCTTTGGAAGGGTTTTGGGAGTTTTTGGGGGTTCCCCTCCCGGTTCCCCCCCCCCCTCCCGGGGGGGGGGGGGGGGGGGGCTGGCTGGCGGGGGAGAATTGAGGTTGGCGGACAGAAACACAAGTGCCGGCCCCCGGTGTCTGTCGTAGCGTGATCCTTATATCGGGAAGGTTGGCGCTGGCTAGCTAATAGAGTTCGAGCTTTGACTGCGGGCGCGGGAGTGCCCATGCGCTGATACAAGAGGATAAGTATTGTAGTCGGAGAGTTGCTTCCCTGCACTTATTTCGCCCGACCCGACTAGGGGGAGACCCATGGGATGGCGAGGAATAGGCTGGAGAACTGTCCTGAAAAAGGCGATTGTTACCGTCATCCACCACGTTCACCAGTGCGCGTATTCAAGAGCGCCACTACGAGAGACTCCGGCCGTGATACACCAGCTGGTGTATTGACGTCTCCCACCGAGCTATATTCTTGCGCTTGCGTATTTTCCTACGGCGCAGGAGCTGTTTCGAGTTGTGAGACCTTGACCGGCGACGCGATGCATGCTTGCATCGACCGACTTCCACCCCGCATATGGCGGGGTGTCGTGATCAAAATCGCCTCTCTGATATCGTGCAACATGTACCCCTCTCATAACGTTTGCCATAAGAACGGGTCAAGCACGCGTTCCGCCTTAGTTGCTCTATGAACTCTCCCCAATGGTCTCGTTACCCCCTTACACGCGCCACCGACCCGCCGCCTCTGAAGCAATGTGTACCAGTAGGCGCAGATACGAGAAGAGACGAGCCTACCGGCTTAGCACATGGATAGGGGGGGGGGGGGGGGGTGGCGTCCGGCGCATTGTCATTATCCATTTGTTGTTCTCGGTCTTGCTGGACCTCCGAAATATATGTAGCAACCCCGTCCACCAGTTGGCAACAACAACGTCAACCGGAAAAACGAGGTGGCATTTGTTGTGAGCTTCGCTCTCCTTCTGTTTACCAACTTTGCGCCCCCAGTTCCCATACTCTAGCGGACAGGTCGCAGCCCAATATACAATCCCCCTCCCAAAAAATGCACCTCAACAACACGCGCCCTTACCCTATTGTACTTAAATAATACGGAGCGAGCGAGGAAGCTCTTCCGAGACAAAAAACTTCAAAGCCGCGAGACCCCTTACAACATACCCCCTGATAACAGGAGAACGCACTGTACACCTCTACCAAACAAACTCAACTGTCGTGATGTCGCCCACTTGTAGAAGCAAGCCCGCGTACCTCAAGGACAGGTACTACATGTGTGTTGCGGCAAAGATACAGCAACAAAAAAACTGTGTTGCAAGCTAAGTCTGCTGCTGCTGTAACGCCGTGTTTCATACATTGCTCGGAGAGCAGCAAGCGGGAAAAAACAAGCGCTGATTTTCTCAGGCCAGTCGCCACCGACTCGCGTAAAAAAAAAAACACACACACACACACACACACACACACACACAGGACGCCAGGCACGGTTTTCACGTGGACCAGATCGATGACGTCCGCTCCGTTCAACAAATTCCACGGGAACAAATCGTACCGCCAGTTCAACCAGCGTTCCGGTGGGAAATACCGCAAAAACTCGAGGAAACACACACACGAAGAGCACAAGACACATTACGCCTACGTCTATTGTCTCTCCTGTTCTTCCTTTCTCTAATCTTGTTGAAAAGACGAGACACAACCCAAATCAAGGAAAAAAAGAAAAAAGAAAAGCGGTCCGACCGGCCGCGGCCTAGCTTCACTACGCTTACCTTTGCTGCTCCTGCCGCTGCACCTAGGCAGCAGCAGCCACTACCGCTTGCCGGGTCACTTTCGCCAAATCTCAGCTTCGGCAAGGTGGCACGACCACCTAGCTATTGCTTACCGCTAAACAAATACCGCCGCCGTCGCCGCGGGAACCTAGCTCCACGCCAGGCGACCCTGGGAGAACAACCCCAAGTCTGTTGAGACCCCTGTCCTTCACCACAGCTGTGTGCGACCGATGTCGCCACCGCCGCCGCCGCCGCCGCTGCCTCCGCTACCGACGGAAACCGCCCCCGCGGCCACCACCGCCTCAACGGCCGCCACTGCACGCCGCCATCCAGGACAAGGAAGAGGCTTCTGATATCATATAAAACAGCTGCCGGCCGGCACTTGTTGCCTTGACTTTGTCGTCGTCGCGCCTGTCCGGAGGGATTGGCGTGGCTTGTCACGATTGATTACGTGACGTTGTCGTCATACCTGGCCGCCGGAGTACCTGGCACGGAGCTCGTTGGCCGAGGTCGGCGTCCTTTCTGCGAGAGACTTGATGTCCAGCGTCGGGATCGTGTTGGCGCCGCTCACCATCACGGACACCCTGTGCGCCGACTCGTAGGCCTCGCGGGCGCCCTGTTCCCCCGCAAACACAGGACAGAGCGGCGGAGACACACAAGCGACGCAACCAAACTGCTTTGTGAGAAGCCTGTAAATTCACCTTTTTGGAGTTCAAGAAGATTTGAGTTAAGACATGCATCCAACAAACGCACAACAACAACGGTGCCCCCACAGACTGCCAAAACATGCAAGTACGGAGTAGATACTGAAACCGGTAAAATGGCCCTATAATCTTGTTATTTTATATCATCTTGTGATATTGTTCGCATTCCCACCCAAAAAAACGCCGTTCAAGTGTAGTATCAACCCAACCCTGTTCTCCCCAAGGATCAAGCTCAAACGTCGCCTCGCCGCAAGTCAGGCTACGGGTAGAACGCGGGAGGGCGCGGCACGTAGGCTGGCAAACGTGTGCTGCTGTAGCACTACTTTCCAGAAATCTACGATGCCATCTACATCATCGTGTTTGTGTTTGTGTTCCGCCCGGCGGTCCAAGTCCATGGGGCGCAACATGGCGTACATCGTGTGGGCGTGCGTGTGTGTTTCTTCGTTAACATCGACCGCGCTAACCGGTTGACAGATGAAAAGAAGTCAGTCAGTCTCGTAGCGGGGATAAAGATGACGAACACTTTCATACCGTATATGACACAAGATAACACACCCCCTTGGCCGATTTTCAAAGCTCGATTACTCCACGACGAAGAGGATGCATAAATGAAACAATACGTTTTCGAACAGCTCTCGACGAGACGGTTCCAACGCCGCCGTTTTCGGCGCTGTGACTCTTGCTGCTGTTGAGAAATCGAGCTTTGAAAATCGGCCAAGGGGGTGTGTTATCTTGTGTCATATACGGTAATCAAAGGGTTCTACAGACAGGGGGGGGGGGGCGCAGGAGTTGGACGACAGAGCCCCGCTTCTGAAGGAGCACAAGGAAAATACTCGATGTGTGTGTGTGTGTGTGTCCCAAGCCCTGGGGATGCAAACACCTACCCCGATCCGCGTACCCCCCCACACACGACTACTATACTTGTCATGGTCCAGCACCGGTCGTGCCGATATTATAGATAGAAGTATCCGAAGACACAATAACAGCGGGCTCGCCCTCCTCCCACTCAAACGAACTTTTACATGGCACGCATACGTCGACACGCACACCCAGATCATGGCCTTTAGAAGCAATTTCTTTCTGTTTTCAACAGAACCGACACTGCCGTCTTTTCCATTGGCCATGTAGCGCGCTCGATGTAGCTAGTAAAGAGACACACATATCCAGGTACAAGTTGTACACACCTTGATGTCACCGGCGACGACCCGCGACTGCGCCAGAGCATCCAAGTACACCACCTTCTCGTGGTGCAGGGCCGGCAGCGCCTCCTCGACCGCCGATACCAGCCTTGGTTCGACCAAACACCACCACCACCACCAACAACAGCAGCAGCAGCAGCAGCAGCAGCACGACCGGCCGACAAACGGATACATGAAAGGAGGCGTTTCGCGGATGAATTTGACGGTATAGTAGTACATGTTACGGATGCCTCTCAGGTTGTCGAGCGCGTAGTACGCGATCAAGGGTGGTCTCAAGGGTTGCGCGGACCCCAGGCGCCACCGCTACTTGTTGTCACCCCCGGTCGCACCCAGTATTTAGTACTGGCCCGCTATTTGTATCACCTCCCGCCACACACGGCGGTAGCCGGCCCGCCATTTATAGAAAGAAACGTCGAGCATAGAGTATATACAGTACTCGAGCAGGATGTAGCGTAGGATCCCACGGTTGAGCTGTGACTCAAAACTCCAACGTAACACTTTTCGGGAAAATTGAGCATATTCGTACATTTGCACACGACGTGATACTGCCGGGAAATATATAAATACTTCTACAAGGTTTTGGGAGCTGCGCGCCCCCGCTTTATTTGAAGCGATTCCAAGGCAACGTTTTCTCTGAAAGTGGGTGTAGGATATTGTTAAAATGAAGGTAAGCACCGATGGCAGTTAAAGTTTCCGTGAAGGTGGAGTTCCCATGATGGAGGTTCGTGTGTGATTTAAGGAGATGTAAAGGTCCATTATTTGTTTCCCATCGCCGTGCCCAGTACCCCTCCATTATCTGATACACATCCAGAACTCAGAACTGCAAAAAATTGACAAAATTGTCGGCTGCACTGCGAATGAAGAAAGACAGCACTACCAATTTAACGCACTACTTGAACTGCAAAACAAGAATAAAGACAGCACGAAGAATTGGACGCACTACTTGAATTCTGAACAAATGAAGTCATGGAGTAGCTACAGAGGAGTGGGAGGAGTGGGCCGGGGTAGCCATCGAGAGTGGAGGTAGAAAGGAGTGTATTTTCGCATTTTCCGGGCCTTTAGAAGGGATTATCGGAACCGGAGCACACAACACCGTTGCCGGAATCGGAACAAACAACAGACCATTCCGACGCGAGAGCGGTTAAGAGAGAAAAGCAAAAATTGAAAGACAACGTGGATACACAGACACACACACCGAGAGGAGAGAGAGAGAGAATACGGTACCAAGGTGATAAGAGGTGAGTGCACACCGTGTGAAGGTGTTACAAGAAAAAAAAAAATGTACAGCAGTAGCACACGGAATCGGAACAAACAACAGACCATTCCGACGCGAGAGCGGTCAGGAGAGAAGGCGAAAATGAAAAGAGAATGTGGATAGACAGACCGTCAGAGACATAGAGAGACGGAGGAACGGAGGAGAAGGAGGCACACACACAGAGGGCCGTACTTCGAGTGGAATGCGTTGTATAATGGTACAGAGCGGGGTGACAGGAGCAGGCGAGAGAGATAAAAGCGGAAGATAAAAAAAGTGGAAAGTCCACCAAAGTGCCAAATTTCCAGAGGAAATGCTGCTCTGTGAGAGCCCGAGAAGACCGGAATAGAGCGCTCACAGAAGCCGAAAGAAGCGAAATGAAGGGTTCTCAGAGAAAACTTAAATTGTAAGAAGACTATACGTAATAATACAATTGCGCTTGTGTAGTTTTTTCTGGGTCAGCTTCTCCGAAGGTTTCCTATTTGTGTACCCCATTGTGGGTAGTTGGCGTGTGACGGCGGAAGAAGACTGCGTCAACTGGACCAGTCCTTCGGATAGAAGAAGGAACTGAGCAGAGACATAAAACGGTCCTTAGTGCGAAGACAATCACTGTTTCAAACAGACAAGGCGGGAAACACACACACATAAAGGACAACACACAGCAACACACAGCCTGCACGCATCACAGCGTACCATGTACAGCCAAACAAGCTGACAAGAAAAAAAAGAAAAGAAGCGTACCTTGCCCAGGCTGCCTCCGCCGCCTGAGCCACGCGCTCGCGGCGCCCCCCGCCTCCTGCGCTCTCGCCGGAAAGCCGCTTCGCCGTCGCCTCCAACGCCCAGAAGACCACGTAGTGCGTGGGGTGTACCACCCTGGCGTCTTGCACTAAAGCGTCGATTTGTTCCACTCCTAAGTTAAGCCGGCAGTCACACAGCGCACGTGAGGGGGTTCGTCGCAGGTCTGGGTAAAAAAGGCTTGAAAGGCGGGACGGGGGCCAGGGGCCGAGGCGACTACAGGCGGGAAAAGGGGATAAGGGAGGACCTCATCATTCGCGTGGCTCGTCACTCACTCATTCAGAAACGAGATCGCACGCACGGCATGTACGGGTGTCGATCGCGTTGACTCACGTGTCAAGAAGACCGCATTAGAGCGACCGAAAAGATGATGCTAAAAAAAAAAACACAACACAACACAACATATGCATACATAGCAGCAAACAAAAAATTGCTCCATCTCACCTAGCTCGTCAGCCATCTCCAGGGCCTCAGACAGCGACTCCTCCGCCTCAAGCAACACCTCGATCTCCTCGGGGTCGCACTGGTGCCCGCACGCCAGACATCCCCAAGACCGTTCCGCGGACTCGTCCCCGCCGTCGCCGTGCGGGCAGACCTTGCCGGTGCGGCAGTCCTTGGACGGGCACCGGAAGGCTCGGCACCGGTCGGGCAGGACCGTGCACGCGCGGCAGGTGCAGACGAACTGCTCGCGTTCCGCGACGACGAGGCGTGGTGGTAGTTATTGTTGATGTTGTCGTTGTCGTTGCCGTTGTTGTTGTCGTTGGTAGTGGTGGTGGTTGTTGTTGTTGTTGTTGTTGTTGTTGTTGTCGTCATCGTCGGTGGTGGTGATCGTTGAACGGCGGCCGTTGCCGACCAGCGTGTTATTTCACGGGGAAAGGGTGCCGGCGGTGACCGTTGTAGCGGAGTTTCATCAGTGGTGTGTTTCCGTCGAGACGACGTCGGTTGGTTGTTTTGACGGCAGATTTCGTTGTCCAAAAAGCGTGTTCATCAAAGACCAAAAAAAAAACGGCCACGAGGTAGTGAAATATAGCGGGCAGGAGGAACGAAAAGGCATGAGGGAAGGGGCGAGAGTTACGGCGTAAGGCGACGAGGGGGGAAGCGGTGGTGCCAAACAAGAACCGGTTCAGACAAACAGTTGTTATTTGCCTAACGAGGAACAATTATGGTATTTCCCGCCCTGGAAAAAGTAGTTTCTTACGCGGGAAATATGGAACATGGTATAATCCCAAGATGGCTACTGTAGAATCTGTGGAGCGAGCGGTCGCTCACGACACAAAAGTACGCCTGGTAGGTACTCGAACATCGTGCCGGGAGACACTCTGCTCGCGCAATATTGGTTCGCCCCGCGTACAAACGTCGCTCTAGGAACAGCGCAACAAAGGCATCGGCTTGAAGCAACAGCTATTAACAGCTGTTGCCGAACGGAGACAGAAAGAGAGAGAGACCAATCCGCGAGTCACGGCAACTCGCGGGATACGCGGGATACGCCGCATCAATTCTGATTCCGCACAACCAAAACAGGCAGACACGCTGGACAAAACATCGAGATATACGGAAAGGCTTGGAGAGTGACAGACACAGAAAAAAAAAAACAGAAAAAAGAATAACAAAAGACACGAAAAGCAGACGCTCTGCACACGCGCGGCGAGGGAAAGTCGAGAGAGCCACTTGAAAAGAACGACCAATGCCCCCAACCTACCCCGTAGATGTCCTCTAGCTCCGCCTTCCTCTCTGCGGTGGGCAGGTAGAAGTTGTTGCCGTAGTCGATGGAGAGGCGCTCTCCCTCCCCCACCTGCCGTATGGCCGTCACCCAGAGCTTGTCCCCGAAGGTCGTGAAGCTGACGAGAGAGGTCCGATGGGGGGGGGGCACGCAATATAGGGATGGGGAGGGGGCGGGGTGCAGGTGAGCTTGGGGGTGTAAACGAAGCTTAAGCTGCGCTTGTGAGCAAGCTGCAACAACAGCAGGCGAGGCAAGGCAAGATGCAGCCGACCTTCCTCCCTTGTCCCGAGGTCCGACAATCGCCAACGAACAGAAACACGGGTGCAACTTGGAGTGTAGACAAGCTCTTGCTGCCGGACAGGGCCATAACCCCTTTCCGTTACACTGCGTGCCTCCAGGGCGCTAATCAGAAACGTCGCTTAAAAAACAAAGAAAATATAGTGACGGTGGGCACCTGCAGTTGGGGGTACAATCGTGCTCCATGATGCAGGCCATAAGAAACAACCCGGATCCTTCCACCTGTTCGAGCTGCACCAGCAAAACGACAACAACAACGGGAGCAAGACAAGTCAACAAAAACAATTCTGGTCTAGAGACAAGGGGTGGCGACCGCACCACCAAAAGGCAAACACTTACAATTTGGTTATACCGCGAGAGGCGACAATATCGTACGAACGCGCTGACAGTTAGTATAGGCGAGACCCACCACCACCACCACGCGTGTGAGATACGGAAGACTGCACCCCCCCGCCCCCCCCTCCCCGTGGAATCGGTCCCGGGGGTCCCCACTAGCCGGAAGAAACGACACTACTACCGCAGCGCGATCGATACACGGAGCGCCAACTACTATTTGTTCTTCCCTGACTTACTTTTTGCACACAGCGCATCAAGCGAACGAGCGAGCGACCGGCACGAACACACACGCGTCCATTGTACATTTTTTCTGTGTTTGCAGCACTATGTACGGCCGACGGCTTTTCATTGATCAGGCGGTTAACGGCGTTCGACGCTAGCAACGAAAACCACACGCATAGAGATGCCTGCAGCACCTCGTGAGAATTAGTGTTGAGCGTCCCCAGAATCCTCGCCGCTCGGTCATTGGTCATGCCGTCCGGAAACAGCCCAGGGATGAGCTCACGAATGGAGACAACGCTCTCAAGGCAACGCGGAAGGTTGGCCGCCGTGAGGGGGGCGAGAGGGTCCAGCGACAGCGGATCCTTCCGGTACATGAGCATGCACTGGATAAAGCAGCGAGCTCTATTGTTGTTAACAAGAGGGAACGAGGAAGAGGGTGCGGGGGGGGGTTAGGTGCCGGTTACCATGCTCTCTAGAGAGCTATGGGTGGGTCATTAGCCTTGCAGCCTCTGCTCTTACAATGGCCTCTTCTTCCTAGCTCTCTCTAAAGGCTGCTGTGCTGTGATACAAGCCCTAAAGTTCGTGCTTCGTAGGTACAGTAGCGCTCGTGGCCTTTTCGCACGCGTGGCGGCGGCGGCGGCCCGAACGAGAGACACAGACCGAGACGCACACACACACACATTTAGAAGTGTTTTTTTTCGTGTTTTTCACCCGCACTGAGACTGACGTCTTTTCATTGGTCAGCCGGTTAGCGCGGTCGATGCTAATAATAATTAAAAAAAAAAAAACACACACACACCGAGCGGCGAAGACAACAACAAGCTCGCAAAGCGTCTTCTCCCTGCCGGATGGGCCACGGTCAACATGCACGGGGCGGCCGACTCCCATCTAACACGACAGTTTGGTCACTCCTGCTCTCGAAACTACACGCCCTGCCCTTCGCGTTTGGTGATGATGTGAGAGCCTGGTCGGGTGAGAACCCGGCGTGCTCCGTCCCAGCGTTGTAGGGGTGCGAGGTCAATGGTCTAACGACAACGGCATGAACGAGTGTGAGTGCACCCCCCTCACCCCCAGACACGCCAACCACTTCCCCCGAGCCCATCCCTCCTTACCTGTCGAGGGTGTTGACCGCATCCAGGTCGCACATCTCGTCCGCCGCGGCATCTAGCTCCTCCAGCAGCTCGGGAGGGCAGGGAAGTGGGCCCTGCGGCTTGAGCTTGAAGCACGCCGACGCCTCGTGGAAACCGCAGCAAGCTAAGCACCTGTTGTTGTTGATGTTGTTGATGATGATGTTGGTTGGTGTTAGTCGTGTTTCGATTGGTCGAATCCCCCGGCGGTTTCATCGCCCCATTCGCCCACACGAGCGTGACAGAAAAAAAACGGGAAAAGCGAAAAGATTGACTGACGAAGTGAGGGAAATCTGCGTTTTGTGAGATGCGGCAGAAAGAAACCGTTGGCCAATCAGTCTTTTGTGTTGGGGCAGACAGACTTTTTACCCTTCTGTCTGGAGGAAAAATGGCTGGTGTTTATTCTGATCGTGAAGGTGTAGACCGGGCGTGTGGTTTGTGTTGCCCTGGTCTCCGCTCTTCTCCCCTCCCCCCATTGGCCAGCAAAGGGGGGTACGCTGGAAAATAAAGACAAGCTTAAGCTTCGAAAGCATCGAGAAAAAGAAGGTGACTTTTTAGCTTGGCATGAGGGGTTCCGCAGCAGCAAAAGAAGGACGTAAGGGGATATGGCCTACCTATCGCACGGCCAAGGCAATCCCCCGCCCGGGGGAACAGAAAGCTAACCCGCCCGGCGGGGATACATACCAAACACCTCTCGTCGAGTAGGCTGATGTCACTACATAGCGGTACAGCAGTATACCACGAGGCTACTGCTGTCGGCAACAGCTACACACCAAAGCCGTGGCGTGCTGGGGCTGCTGCGCCAGCAGCGCCAGCAGCAGCAGTGCCGGATACACGCACCGGTCGGGTAGCTCACTGGCGTGCACGAAGGCAAGGTCCTCCAAGAGCACGTCTCCGGCCTTGAAGGCCTGGGTAGCCACGCACACTCGGCCCTGAAAACGAAAACGAACAAGCGGGAAATGCGGTAGATACATGCCAACGGAACAAATATTTCATACAACAACCGTTCCGAACCGCCCAGAGAGCAGCATCGACGATCTACATATCCCAGTACAACCCGCAAGGATGCGGAAAGTGGTCGCCTTTTCGAATGCTTTCGTTCGCACAAATTGGTCGCACGGGGGGGCCAAGGCGCCGAAACGGCAGTGTTTCTATGCATACAAATAATGACAGCAATAACAACGTTTTGCTCGTGTGTGGTCGCTGGAAACAATGCACAGGGCATCCATCAGTATTTTCGAGTCAGTTCTTCTCCTCAGATAGTATGGGATGTAAACAGTGGCATCACCTCCCGCAGGGGTTGGTGTTGCCACTTCGTAGCGAATGGAAAGAAATAAATATGGCTATGGGAAACAATCCTGTTTCCTGTCAAGCAGTAATAATACAGCGATCTATATTTATTTCTTTCCCATCCGCGACGATTGGCGGGTCAGGTCCATGACCCGCTCACCGCCGTTGCCACTCTTCGGCGCGCAGAGGTCGTATAACTGCTCGATGACTGCCTCGGGTCCTGGCGCGTGGAGGGCATCTAGCTGGAAACTCGGCACCGTTGCCATGATGAACCGGGAAGAAGAGAAACACAAACAGGGGAAAGGAACTAATCCCAGAGGGACGGACGGTCGCGGTCGCCGCTCGAGGAGAGCGGAGGGCGCGGACGGATGATGAGCGTCTCAAAAAGGAGACTCTCCTTTCCTCTGTTTTCCTGTCTTGCACAGGTTTGACAAAAGGAAGTGAGAGTGTGTTCTTCCTCCTCCTTTGTTCTGGATCTTTACGTCTGGAGAATTCTTAAATCGTGCCTCTTTCTTCATTTCCTGTTTTGAGAATCCGGAACCCGCCCGACTTTCTCTATGCCTAATCTGCGACACTGACTGCGTATGGGTGGCTTTATTTACACGTCAATACTTGTATGTGTATTCGACACCTCCTGGAGCCCTGTTGAATCAGCTTTCTGCGCTTCCCCTGCCTGTTTTAGCTATTGTACGCGGAGTGTGGTTCTCCTACCTACGCGGAAGCGGGGAATCAGCACTTTGCGAAGCCACATAGGTCCGCCAAGGCCAACGTACTTCAACGGTACGGCAGTACAACAGCACAGCAGTAGGTCACACTGCGGACGTACTTCACATGGGAATCTTCTTGGCATTGTTATGCATCTAGGAAGGTGTACAGTAGAATCCTGCCCTTCTCTTCTCAAGAGAGAAGCAACATACCAATGGCACACGATAGCTTCGCATACAACAAGCTTTGCTTTGTTCGTGTTGAGGAACACCTGTGACTCCATGACTAAAATGTAGACAAATGGGCTGTAACAAAGTCTAGCCGATTTTTGAATGGTACGCCGAACGCATGATGCCATCCCTCACCCTGTCGGGTGTGTTCATCACAGTGAAGTGCCTCGGCGTGTCTCCCATCGTTCAAGCAGCCAGGTCTCTCCAGTAAATGTCTTGCCTCTCTAGAAGTATGCTCCCCTGGCTTCAAGTCCCCGCAGAGCAGAAGCTGCACACACATCCAACCACCGACACCCGGGGGCTCCGTGTGATCATCCTGGTCCCCACGCTCACTCGCCCAGGACGCGGTGCCCCACAAATACGCCGCATGTCCCAGCGTGTCGCGCGCCCTCAGCGTGTGTCGCACTCGTATGCTCTGCAAGCGCCAAATCATGACGAGGCTCATGTACCACCTCCTCCTCGTGGCCCTGTGCCGGCGTACAGTCGTCCGGGGGTTTGGCCTCTTGCCGCCGCTTCTCTCGTCGCAATCTAGAGGCGACGTTGCCCAGCCCCGATCGCAAATAACACGAAGTTCCTGCCGCCCCATGGATCGTGTCATGATGACGGGCGCGTTTTGGGAAGGGATCGTGCAGGGCGTTGGCATGAAGACGCCGACATCTCCGACGGCCAAGGAGAAGTGCCCCGTGCTCATATGCCCAGCGCAGCTGAGCGTTCCGGGTGACTACGGACAGATGGTCACAGAGCTGAAGGAAAGGTATGGATACACACCGTCACGAGGCACACCTACAATGTACCTGCTGCGTGTTGTGGTCTGCGTTCTACACCCATATCCACGACATGTCCTGCTGTCTCTGCTGTTATTGTGTGTCTGAAACTGCTGTTGTACTCAGAACTATTTAGGATGTCCCCGCGCCAGTTGCGCGGTACTTGGCAAAATCGGCAACATGACAACATCACGTCGATGTTCTCCATTTTGCACAGTTGTCCCGCTTCATGGCCTTCATGACTCAACTACGGTACAAGTACCCTCATCTTTGCGGTCTGACTTATAATAAGCCGCGGAGCGAGTGCGGCACCTAGGAAGGAGACCTGCGCTTGCTTTTGCCAGTGTAACAAGATACCGCGATTGCACCAGAGATCAGTATGATCGTTACGTTCTGATTTGAGATCCAAGACCGCTTGTTTTGACATGCTGTGCCGTAGTCGTGGCAACAACGACCGTGTGTTGGCGTTCCGCAGCTGACGAGATAATTTCTCACAGCGCCACTTACGTAGCAACCTTTTGAATTGAAAGCCCTTATGTCTACCGACTCTGCCTCCGATTTTAGCGCAGCTCGCATCTCACCAATGTAGACTACTGCTATGCATGTTGTCACCCGCGAGTGCGCGGAGGCGTGTTTTGCACGCGGGTCGAATTTCCTGGCGCTGTGCATCAGGCTTGGCAAATAAGCCTCTTTGGCTGCAGGACCTCATACTTCAAAATGTTAGCCAAACAGAGCGCCTTGAAACCAGCGGTCTTGAACCCTGGCCATTAACATTTGGCCTGCAAGCCACAAGCCCATGCTGTTTTTTTTGTGCGCAAGACGATATTGCTAGAAACCCGCAATATCAGGCTTTATCGCATATACTTGAAAGGAATCCTATACCGTGAAGAAGCTGTGTGCCCTGTACCCATTGTCCTCTTTTCGCCGGTCGACGTATTGCGATATATTGGTCAGGGGCTTCCCCGCGTATTGCGCAGACCTGACGAGATTTGGGTGGATCACGGGGTTGCTTCCCTCGGCGCTGTCGCCGGAGTACTTGAAGGGCGAGCTCACACCGGCCAACACCCTAAAGGTGGGCTTTGGATGGACCACCCTCCGTGTAAATGTCGATCAGGCTGCGTGGGATTACTTCTTGTTGTCCGTCCCGCGGCTACAGCGAGATCCCCAGAGGGTCGTGCAGCAATGTATTTCACACACATCAGGCGTCAACACCTAACCGGCCGACAGGCCTCAAACCTGTGTATCCTCACAACCTCGGGCATGAAGGGAGGACCAGGAACAGACTAAATCATGGATCGGCACACGTGTTTGGAACCTTTTTTTCTCGCCTCACAAATACTTCGTGGGACGACACAAAGTGCCCCTTCCCCGCCTCGCCCAACAGAACCTCGTGTCGCCCACGAGCATGTACCGGTTGGGCGAACTGCCCCGGATGCATTGCAGAGATGTGAAGGTTCACGGCGTGTAGACTAACGATCGTGCATGAATTATTGTACTTTGCACGATTCTGTGCAGTTTTACTACGAGGCAATAGATCGGGCGCTGGAAGAAATAAAAGAGAGACATCCCGGGCAGGGGGTGCATGTCATCGGGCATAGCATAGGGGGCTGGGTTGCCCGCGCTTGGCTCGCGGAGGGATGTGCGGACACAGACCGAGAAAATGTGCTCAGCCTCACGACGCTAGGAACTCCAAACACGGCCCCCCCGGAAGATGCCGGGCTATGGGCCGCCGTGGACCAAACGCGGGGGCTCCTGAAGGATATCAACGCTAGATTTCCAGGGGCGCACGTGGAAGGCGTACGGTACACGAGCGTCGCGGGGACTGCGCTGGAAGGTGAAGAAACGCATCCCATGATGTCGGTGGATATGGGTGTGTCGTCCCGTGTTGGGTCCGCTTTTGACACACGTGGACCGGCGTGGGCTTGCAGTTCCATTGCAACACGGTTGGATGCGGGAGGGTGACTAGGTTTTTCGGTAGACATGGGCGTGTGCATCAATCAGCATGTGTCGCGTGTTTGCCTTTCGAGGTGCATGAGACTTTCGTTTTGTCTCTAACGCTAACCCCCCTGCCGGTTTTCCAGCTAGAAGACATTGCACGCTTCTTCTCGTGGTTCGCATAGCGCGCAGAGGGAGCGGAGGACTCCAGAATATCTGTCGTTGATTTCTATTGACTTGCGGACCCCTCGGGGCCCGTTTATTTGAGTGTACCTTTTTAGGGTAAGTCAGCCTGTGACCACGGGAACCGACCGCGTCAAGTGTTGGATCAGTACGGACATATGAAGGTACTGGGGAGAGAGAAATCGGAACGGTTTTTTAATGTGAAGACAACAACAACAACAACAAACGTATCTCTCTCTTCCCAAAAGTGTTAGGCCCGTTAATTTCTCTGTCGTCCGAACCTTGCACACAGGAAAGTTCCCAGGGAGCGTGGAGCAAATGCTTGCGTACGTAAGCTACCTACCTCTCTGCGGGGACGGCGGGTCTCGCGGTGACGGCATTATTCCGCTCGACGTGGCTGTACTGGAGGGCTCCACCGTTGTCGAATTGCCATCGTCCAAACATTCAGGTGAGTTTTTTCGGCACTAATCCCGCGACCGACGGATTGGGAATGCAAAAAAAGGGCGAGGCGGGCGGCGGGGCGCAGAAAAAACGACTTCGTTTCTCGCGCTGACCTGTGGTGGGGCTTTCTTAGTCCTGGGTCTCGTTGACGGCGCTGCCAGAGCATGTCCTCGAACGCTCCGGACTGTTCCTACAGTAATACAAAACGATGTTTGTTTTGCAACAACAATGTGCGGGGCACCGTTAACACGCTGTTGATACCTGGATGTGTGATTTTTGTCCACTGCACTGAACGAGTAGCTCGAAGAACAGCTCGAACACATTTTTTGTGGAAGCCTTTGGACAGTAGTCTTGCAACAATTGTTTGTTTGCGATCGATCGCCCGCTTTTGTGCCGGTGCATCAACAGGCTTTGTTCCCTTCCCTGGAGACGCGATCGACCTTGGCGAGGATTTCCTGTGGTATGGAAGCAGCAGTTTAATGGATTCTTGGGTGGGCAACCTTGATGAGGCGGAACAACATAGAAGGGGTACAAGACGACAAGCTGCCTGGAGGAAATCGGGAGGAAAGCAGTGGTGACACTCGCATACAACCACGATGGTTTGACGCCTGTAGGCTGGTACATGTGTGACATGTTCCCGTCCACATTGATTGAGCGAGCTTCAGATGAAAGGGAATGGTCGCAGGTCAGAGCCGGGCGGTGTTAGCAATCATACCCTGGAGATGCTTCCCCTCGATAGCTTCATTATGATAGGCAGCATTGTTCATGTTGTTGTGCCATTGAAACCTCGTACTAGGAACAGGGCGTGGCTCTCCGGCAAACTCCTTAGTACAAGGCTTCTCCGACAATACGCAACCGCAATTCCGTTCGGGGTTGCTGTTGGTTTCGTCGTCGGACATCCACGACGGGTTCGTGCTAATCTCATCTACTCATTTATTAGCTTTCAGATTGCACGGCAAGAACTGACCAAGTCTACTACCTCGCTCCCAGCAGATACTGGTATCCCCTTTGAGAACGCTCCCGGGATCGCCTACAATGTTTTCGTGAAAAATCAAAATATCTCCCTTATGTGGGTACTCGGAGGTAGGGGGGGTATGTATGCATCCAGGAGGGAACGATAAGCTGGCGAAACATCTCCCGGGGTTCGCTGTCTTTTCGTCTGCTCGGAGCACGCTCCAGACATACACCCATCAATCAATCGTCACCAACGAGAGCACACAGAGACAGAGCTTCAGAGTAAATTGCGGTAGAGGAAAGTAGTATACTACCCAGCCCGAAGTAGATAAGAGAAGGTTCCGAACACAACGATTGAACCGAAGGGGACCCATGCTATGCTAAATATCGACATGACGAGAAAATTACCATGGGACAAGTACTCAGTGGTGTGTTTTGTGTTTGCTCTGACGAGCACTCTCGATGCGGAGACTGGACTTTGTTGCCCAATCTTCTGCGCGGCCCTCTGTGGAGCAACCGGGGACTCGAAATCGAACGAGTATCGGCCTTTTTTGCCCTGACATCAGTCAGCCGCAACAACAATGTTGCCGGTGCCTTGGACTCCTCCCGTGTAGCGACCAAAAAACACAGACGAAAAGACGCCCCAAAGCAAACTCAGAGGAGTGTAGGGCGGAGCGACAAGAACGACGTTCATTGCCCGGGAGCGGTCTAGAACGCTTTGGGTTCACCGGCGATGATATCCTCTAGACGTTCATTGGGTGCCCTTAAAAACACAGGCCGAGAAGATCTGTCCTCTGTGGTGTCTGCGCGTGTACTGTGTTGTCACGCTCGCGGGCTCTTTTTCTGGCGGGTTTGTCACAGAAGGCGTGGCTCGAATTTCACAATTTCACAACATGTTAACAAGTTTAATCAGGACATGTACGTCAAGCCCATCAACCCGCCGACAATATCAACAACGTAAATCCCCGTGAATCCGTTTCCTGCCCGGTAAACACTAACATCTTCGAGACAACGGTCATCTCTCAAAGGACAGGTCGAGACGAAATCTGCGCTCGTACCCTCTGCACCAGCATTGTGTACTGTCGAGCCTTTGGTCGCACTTCGTGCGCTGCCTCAAGACAACACACTCCTCATTATGTGAGCGCTCATTTCCAGGTCAAGCTACCCAACCAGCTCCTGCGAGACTTCTAAACATCATGCCAACAAAAATTAGGCGGGTTAGGGATCGTAAGCCACCGTAAGGAGGCTGGCCATGAGACCTGGTCCTCCACTAGCTCAAATTGGCTGCCAAACGTCAACTCCTGCAGCGATACTGGCCACGCGACTGCGGCTATCGGCTGGTTGAAGTCTCGCCCGAACACAAGCTTTCGCAGCAACGCTGGCCACGTTGTGTGGGCTATCGACTGGTTGAAGCGTTCCCCAAACTCCAGTCGTCGCAGTGAAGGTGGAAAGGTAACCCTGTCTATCGGCTGGTTGAATTCCCACCCGAAGACAAGCTGTTGGATTATCGGAGGCCAGATGACGTTGTCTATCCGCTGGTTGAAGTTTAGTCCAAATGTTAGCTCCAGTAGTGCCACTGGCCACGTTATTCCACCGACCGGCTGGTTGAAGCCTTCAAAGTCCAGCTTTTGCAGCGATGCCGGCCATTCCACGTTGTTGAGGGGGAGGTTGAATTTATACCCCAAATCTAGTTCTTGTAATGATGCTGGCAACGATATCCCGTCCACCGGCCTGTTGAATATAAACCCTAAGCGTAGGCTCTGCAGCGATGCCGGCCACACGATGGCCCCGTGTAAAGGTTGGTTGTACGAAAACCCCAACGAGATCTCTTTGAGCGACGCGGGCCACTTCACCCCGACTACTGACTGGTTGAAGGACTCACCCAATCCAAGCTTAACAAGTGACCGGGGGAATGTCACCCCATTTAGTGGCTGGTTAAAGCCCCCGCCCAAGAATAGATTGTTGAGTGAGGCGGGCCACACTACGCTGTCAAGGGACTCGTTCCTGATGCTCCTGAAAAAAAAGAGCTGTTCCAGCGATGCTGGCCAGGAGAACTGGTACAGAGGGTGATCCACTACACCGAGAAAACTCAACGTTTGCAACGATGATGGCAACACCAGCCGGTGCGAGGATTGGTTGGACAAGCCTCCAAGCGTCAGAAATTGTAGAGACGCCGGCCATACGGCCTGGTCCAAACCTAGACTGACGTCCGTGGCTATGTCTAACACTTGGAGTGACGAAGGCCACACGAGTCCAGCAATCGACTGGTTGAAGTTCCGCCCGAAGCCAACCTTTCGCAGAGATGCCGGCCACACAACCTCGCCCAAAGGTTGGTTGAATTCCCACCCGAAGCTTAAGTCTTGGAGCGATACTGGCCACACGACTGCGGCTATCGGCTGATTGAAACTTGCGCCGAAGGTCACGGCCGTTAACGACTCCGGCAACTTAACTGCCTCAATCGGCTGGTTGAAATCTATCCCCAAGTTCAGCTCCCGCAGGGAGCACGGCCACGTCATGTTCTCCAAGGGGCTGTTGAACCCATCTGCAAACATCAACGTCTGGATCGCCGGTGGCCACCTCATGCCTCCCACCTGGTCGATCCCTTGGTTGCCAAATATGAAGCATGGCACCGAAGCCAAACTCTCCCCGCTCAGACCAAGCCTCTGAGATGAGAGCTTCCACGTCACCACGCGGGCCTGAACGACAGGCACACGACCGACACGCCGCTGCTTCGCTCGGCGAGTCTCCCTCTCGGGAGGACGGGCCCACAGGGGAGTAGGCGTGGAGCGGTCCACTCTCACGTGCAACCTCGGCACGCTTCGACATGAAATGCATAGCTGCAACGAGGCCAGCTGGAGTTGCATCGTCGACGTATACCATGTCTCACCCCCTGTGCCAACAATTCTTGGGTGGGGTTCTCGAATGTAGGTGCTAGCGGTCGTCTGGCTCAGGGCGATCGTGAAGGCATCAAGGCACCGGATGGCACCTTCGAGACATATATGCAACAACATCGGGCCAGCAGCAGAACAGCGAGAACGCAGGGATGGGTAGATTATAAGTTTTGTAGCCGGGCGAAATAACGACGTTACATGGTCGAGGTCAGGCGTTCAGACGTCGGTTGCGACATACATGGTAGTCCAGAAAGCGCTTGTTCGTGAAACATCAACACTACAATTCGACTCACAAGATCAACCTGGGTATTGCTTGCTGAAGCTTTCTCGGCATCGAATCAGAGACACGCCCGTCCTGCAAGCGACCAGGTACACAGGTCAATATGGCCATAGGGTCAACAGCCATCCAATCTATATGGCCACTGCCGCGGAAAACATCACCAGGGGGTGAAGCCTCGAACGTATTACCTTCATTCTATTGACCTGAGAGGTCAGAAGTTGCTTTGACGTGCCATCCCCGTTTCACTGCCGTGATCGATTCTGCTGTGTTTCTTCTATGTACTGGCAAGCATACCTCTCTTTGTGCTGTTGAAAAAAACCGTCACGTGGATACCCACTACTGATGGATGCCCTTCGTGTGGGTTTAACGTTTAGCGTACGTCGGAACCTCTGGAATCACACTACGTTAGTCGCTGGTTGACCACTAAAGAAATATTGCTCTGGTTCGTTTATAAGGCTTGACTTGAACGAAACTTAGCGACACTTTCCTATATATTTCGTCATCCATATTTCTCGGAGAGGGTCATCAACATTTCGTGGTCCTTGCTACCACAGACACTCAAATGAGGCTTGCAGCAACCTGTGGCGAAGGCCATTGAGGCAAGCCAGAATCTTCGCCCTACTCTGCGCAGCCCGCCAGCACCGTCACCGGCAGTAAGCTTTACGCGTGCTTACTTTGGGGTTCTCTCTCCTCCGTCTAAACCGTCTAAGAACCCAGTAAGTTACAGGTAGGTCCAGACAACACTCGTATCCACTCAGTCTTCACTTCAAATTAGCGCTCACAGCACTAGTGCCGTTTACTTCAACCCGTGGTCACACAGAAGAGCCCCTCTCTACCGTCCCCTCCTGCGGTACTTTGCCTTCGATTTTAATGCGAGAAGAGTTCAGCACTCTCTTCCCTCTGTGTACACACGAACTAACGCTATCCACTAAGCCAGGAGCGGAAGCGAGAGAAAAACTCACTTTGCAAGAAAATCTCGTTTACGCCGGGATTCGAACCCCTGACCTGACCTCTAGAGGGTTTCGAGGTTACCAACTAGACCGCCGGGGCGACCGGCTCATTGGGAGAGGCTGTACAGTCCCGAGGGACAAAGGCCGATTTGGCTTTAGACAGGAAAGTGTCCTAAATGCATGGGGACACTTTTCATGCCGAAGGCAAGTCAGAAAAAAAAAAATCCAGTTCTAGGCCATGCAGACTTGCATCAACAAAGGGGGCACGCGGCTTGGGAAATGTGTTTACAGCAAGCCAGAGGCCGAGGAGAGGATCACACAGCCGTATATCACATAGACTTCCAATCACACACGCATGGGAGACCAAGGTGTCCCACGCGCGTTTCACACAGCGGAGCCTACTCTAGCGACGACTACGGTACGGTAAACGTACATTTGAGTGCTGTGTCCCCAAAGTGTTCCCATTTGGGCGTCCACTACTAAGAGGGTTAAGGGCTCCCCCCGATACGGGCAGACGGGAGCAGGGGCAGTCCTCGTCTGAGAAACTCCCTAAACGCGTCAATACTAGGGGGGGTAATGAGCCGCGGGTGACGACGCAATACCTTGCAGTAGTCTATCTGGGATGGTGTGCAAGGTGCGAGACACGCTGCTTCCCGGCAGCAAAACAGCAACCCAGCACGCGCAATTCAATCACTTGCGGAACTATTTTCGAACGAATCTTCCACGATCTTGTACCCGCTCCCGCGGGAAGTTTGTTCAAAATATTTACACACACATAACACGGCGGAGGAACACGAACAACACACATACATGTTCGCCTCGGCTACAACAGCAGTACCGCCAAACGATCGGCACCTAACAGTACTGACACAGACACAAATAAACAAAGTGGTAGCTTACACGAATGCACTTGTAGTGCTGCTGCTGCTGCTGCTACTGTTACAGCAATGACTCCCATCCATCTTTCTTAGCGAAGCGAGATTCTTAATCTGGCCTGAGGTCTCGGGGCAACATAGCGCTCCATCCCAAAAAAAAAAATTGTGCGTGCGTGTGTCTGTTCGCTTAATCTATGTTTTAGAGGACATGACTTGATTCAAGACTATAGGGGTCAGCAGACGCGCTTTTTTTTTTCGGAGCACACAGCGGATTGCAGCACAGGACACACGCACTGCGGGCGACACCACACAGCAGACAACACACGCACAGCGGGCGACAGCATCTGTACTCGATGCCGCTTGGACTCTCTGTGGTGTGATGAGGCTATGTATTGCTGTCGCGCATGTTGTTTTTATTGCCGCCGCATTCAACTGCCAGCAATGTGAGCACAGCACCACACTAGTTCTCGAAACCTAGGACGCCAATCGCCATCGCACCACTTCGAGCGTGTGCTCCATTGTGGCGTCTCTGCGCGTGATAGTTGTGTTGGGCATGGGTGCTATATGTGGCGAGAGCATCGTGGCGACGTGAAATCCGGTTTGGCTTTTTCGCCTGGCGATGCGGCCCCATTAAAAACGATTTGGATTCCACGCCGCCACGAAGGTCTTCACACACACAGCACCCATGCCCAACACAACTGTCACGCCCCGAGATATCGCAATGGAGCACACGCTCGAAGTGGTGCCATGACGATTGGTGCGCTAGGTGTGATTTGTGTCCTGCCGTTTCGCTGGCAGTTGGAAAACACCGAACAAAAAAAGAGACAACAGGGGGTTCAGCAATAGTATGCGGGGGGTATGTATGACCACGAAAGCGGGATGTGGACGGGGGAGGGGAGTAGCCGTGTAGGTGAAAGTTAACGTTACCACAGCTCTCACACCAGCGCACAGCAGGTGTAGTATCAAATGTGTGGTGTTTGCACTCTGTTTCTACCCGTGGACGCACACGTCTGACGACAGTTACATCTATCAGCTGTCGCTCGTTGTAGCGAAAGCTAGGATATCTTTCGGCAGTGCATGCATGCGAGAATAACACCCTGGCGCCTGGCACCAAAAGGCTTTCTTCTTTTTGTGCATTTGTTGTGCCCTTGGCCTTGTTGGCACAGCGGTTTTGTTTCCAGGTGACCCCTGCCCACACACCGAAGCAACAGCTGATGATCACATCCGTCACGAGCTGCGTGTGTGTATGGATGGCTCCCTTCCCTCGCCAGTGATGTTGCCCCTTCTAGCGGTGTTGTATTTAGCTGAGTGCTTCCGAACCGAGCAACTGTATGTGTTCCTGTACCTCTCCTCCGACTCCCGGGGACGAGGGCAAAAATATCCCATGATTTTGGGGACAAATGCCTGTCAAGCACGGCCATCTGTTGTCGAAACGCGAAAGTGCCCAAATTAGATTCCTCCTCACAACCCAGCATATCGTAAATCAGTGCTCTATAGACCTCGTTCTCGTCTAATGAAGGCAATAACTTTTTGACGTGCCGTTCTCCCGGGGTTTTGCGGAACGGTTGCTCTACAGCGCGACGGTTGAAAGATCCCGATATTTAGAGCATTTTTTCCTGTCCTGAGCATGAAGGGAAAAAATGTCGCGCTTCGCGCTCCGCCGCTCATTAAAATTGAAAAGCACGCAATTCCCTAAACGCCTAAATTCAAGCCGTCTTGGATCGATCCTAGAATAACACTAGAGTTGAAGTCACCAATTGAAGTCACACTAAATTAAATAGTGGAAACCCAAAAAATCCAGGTGTTAAGGACATTTCTCAGAAGAGAACCGGTTTGCCCCGTCTCCCCGTGGACGGGGGAGAAAAGGTGGTGAAACGCGGGTTTACCGTAGGTTTGCGGAAGATATGCACACCACACTCTCTGGACGGAGTTTACTCCACGGCATACAGGATGCCTAGGACCAAATGATATGTTTTCGGAAAGTTCTCGACGAGAGGGATCAAATGGCGATTTTTTACTGGTGGTGCATGAAAAAAAAAAGAAAAAGGAAAAGGAGGAAACCCCGGGTTTTGTGAAGAGTTCTGCGATCCGTCACGTGTTTGACTCGACCTTACTCGACCATCCCGCCCTCGATTAACGCACGAGTTTTTGCACTAGATGCGCAAAGAAAGCCAGTACCCTGGATCGACTGCTGTGAGTTGTTTAGGCACCCTGACACATAGTCCTGTTTGATTTTGACGAGCCACCTGTATGACATACCACATGGCATATCATACACACACACATACATGCATGTACGGTGTGGCTTTCTCTCTATCCAACAGAACCGCGTGACCACCAGTATTCGGATAGCATGCAGAGAGCCCGCAGCCCGCACTGCATAGGAGTAGTAGCCGTCGCGAGCAGAGCACAGGACAATGGCGGGCGCTGCCTCGACAGATCATGCACAGAGGATGAGAAAAGATCCAAGTTAAAAACTCTCCAACGGCCACAACTATAGTCTTGCTTCTAAAACTCAGCAGACCAACCCAGCGCTGCGTCGTGACTAAATAAGCAGCAGGGCAAGGAACCAAGACCTGCTTGGAAAAGCGTGTGTATTGGTCTGAAAGGGTTCATTCGGCTGCCAGACTCTCTGTTTAGCCGGGGGGCGCACCCTCTCTCTCTCTCTCATCAGCTGTCTGTCGCATCAGCTTCGAGGCTCTCTGGTGGGCGGCGTACGCTCTCTCTCTCTCTCTCTCTCTCTCTCTCTCTCTCTCTCTCTCTCTCTCTCTCTCTCTCTGCTATGGGTCGCTGTTGTTGCGGCAGCAGTAACCAGCTGTTAACACTCTTCATTGCTGGCGTGGTGACTGTTCTGTAGCGGCTGTGTCTGTGGCAGCTGTGAGGTCTCTAACACGTCAAAGAGCGTTACAGTTGCTGTCGGTATTGGACATTTCCCCCTCCTCCTCTATTTTCTATATATATGTCCAATACCGACGGAACGTGCACCACCAGTAAAAAATCGCCGATCAAATGCCAAGATTTTCGGCACCCCCGCTGGGTTTTGCTGCAGAGTAATCGAGCCTTCAAAATACAGGGGTGTGGAATCTTACGCAACCTACTGTTAACAGGGTACGTATGTGTTGTGTGATTTGTTTCATTTGGGGTACATTTTTAGTTTTCGGTTTTTGTTTTGGGATATGGCCCACGTACTACTGTGTAGATTTCTGTGCGTGGAACGACGTGCGCCCGCGCGGTTCGCTCCGAGGGGGGGATGAAGTCTTCGATGCAGGTACAGGAGACACAGCAGTACAGCAGTACATAGTACAGCAGTAAGCAGCCGTGTCGAGGTACCGGCAGTCTCATGCAGCAGCAGCAGCTCTTCCTTCAGGTACCAAAGGAGGCGTAGCCTGATTTTGCAGGTACAAAAAAAGGTCTAAAGCTGTAGTTACTTTACCTCCTTGACGGGGTGTCAGGGACATGTTGCAAACAGCCGTGTTGCAATTGTGATGCGTGCAGGGGCTTCAGAGGGCAAGCGGAGCGGGAAAGTATGCGCGATCATTCGCTGAATACTCGTTTGTAGACTACTATGTATGTATGCATACAACGAGCTGGACAAATGGGGCGGGAAGCGACGTGTTGCAAGAACAACAGCGCACTCTACTGCTGTGAAGACATTGCCCTGTAAGGCCACTCTCTTTCTAGGAGGTATGATACTACTGTAGTAGCACTCACCAGAAGAACCCCCTCGATTTGATTGATCCAGCGCCATCTCGCTCGTCACAAACAACGTGCCCTGAGTCCCGGGGTGCTCCCGCCGTGTGGCGTATCCTACTACGCTTTGTTGGTGACGGTCTACCAAATCCTGCACTCCGCTACTGTTGCTGCGAGTGTTGGCGTCGGCGTTGTAGCGCAAGAAGACACGGTAGGACACCTCTGACCAGTCGAACTCTTCCTTCCACACACACCCTAGAAGCATCAAGGTCTGGGGACACTGGCTGCGAGGGAGGAGAGAGGCTTTGCACATTTACGCTTTTCGGGTTTCAGCGGGGTTTTTAATTGTCAGCCCCTCCCTCCTCGGACTCCTGTGACCCAGGGCCCGCTAGCTACGCGGCCATTTCTCTCATGCAGCCCTTAGACATCGGTAGACGCGCCTCGCAAGCACATCATGGTTTCCATCTGAAAGTTGTTGGTCTTTTGGATTCTAAAATTTATTGAGCCGTGGGGGCGAAAAAACGTGGGAGATGCGACAATAGCTTGGATCCGATCCATTTTTTTTGCCTCTTTGTACTGCTGTACTTGTACTACGAACTGACATTTTGCTAAGATCTGCAGCAGCAAAGCTTGGTACTGCTGCGTAGTCTTGCGTGCGAGCGCCAACATCATCATCCTGGAATTTCATTCCGTACAGAATGCCTGTACAAAACCTTAACCTTTTCTCTCTCCACCCGGGTGCTCTCTTCGTTCTCCCAGTCATGACACCGATGGATGGTACAAAGCTTCTCGTCAAAATCGAATGAGTGGGTTTGTGGGCGTCACTACAGTATTCCGGCAGAGCACTCGGAACTTCTTCACTTGTTCACGTTGAAGAAGCAGGTAGATGATCAGTTACACCCCCCGCGACAGTCACACCATCAGGCAGGGTAAGCTACTGACCGTCGGGGAATGCATGGTACACGTGAAAAGACGAGCAGCGATACCGCGACAGGGGGGGATTGATACCTCCGTCAATGAGCAGCATGCAAGGAGAGCGCGAACGCGATCAGCAGCCAGAGGCATGGCCGCATACACAATACCCAGGGGGGAAACAGAAGAACCAAAAAAGATATCTCCTGTGTGATCGGTGCCACCGTATCCACCGCCTCCGAGCCCCCAAACTCGCCGCTAGAACTTCGACACTCCCGTCCTTTTTGGCACACTTCGTTCTTAGATATGATGCACCAAACACATGCGAACAACACACGACCAACGGATAACGTGGCGCCGGTCACCACCCAAAAGCTGAGCGAAATAACACCCAGTCCACCACTACACAAAACAAACACAAATCTTCTACAGCCCTCACGCAAAATCGTTGTGTAAAGACCTAAAGGCAACTAATAATTGGAGGTTCATTCCAGACGAAAGCGTTGGAGCCACTCTCAGCGCAGCGAATCAAAACAGTGGACAGACAGCCGTGGCAAAGACGGCCGAACGTCCTGTGAACGAAAAAGTCCAAAATCAGGCCTGCTTCACCCTTCGGCCCTCTCCCCCGCTCCACCGCCGTTACCGTTTCGTCTCCGCGGCGCCATCTCAATCTCCTCCCCGGCACCGCCGCCGCCGCCGCCGCCGCCGCCGCCGCCGTCCTCGTCATCTCTGTCCCCGCCGACCAACAGCCTTCTCTCCTGCTCCGTTCGCGCGAGCCCTCTAGCCCGCCCCCGCCCCCTAGCTCGAGCTCCGCCTCTCTCGGCAGCGCCGCGAGCGCGGGGAATCCTATGTTCCTGCCCCTCGCCCCTGCTCCCCTCGCCGTCGTTTGCCTCCCCCCCACCTGCTGCTGCTGCTGCTGCTGCTCCCCCCCCCGCATCGCCCCCCCCGTCCGGCCGATCGGGAACGGCATCTCCGTAAACACCGACGGAGGAGGCATTGGGCGGGATGAAGAGGGACCACATCGGCGGCAACGCTGCACCCCAAGTTGGCCCTTTCGGTTGTCGTGGGCGGTGGCGGTGTACAACAGACGTCGAAGGCGCAAAAGGACGAGAGGGGGCACGCATCAAGGAGGGGGGGGGGGGGGGAGGAAACGCAGAGAGTGTGAAGCATCCATTGTAATCCTGAAGCAGAGGATGCCCCAAAATACAAAACACGCAGATGCATACCGTCTTCATTTTCGTAGCCTCATGAGAAACAGAGCCTTATCGTATTTTCGTAAGCGAAGCGCTTCGACACCGGGTACTCCGCAACCCAAGCACAACAAAAACTCGGCGACAAGTTTCCATTCCACGGGGCCTCCTCCTTCCACGTGGCGGCGACTCACAGGGAAGCTCGACGAAATGCGCCCGCGGCGCGTCCTGGGAAACCTCTCCGCTGGTGTAGGCCGGCAGTTCGATCGCCTTCCACCACGTAGAGCTGAAGGGAAACCATCCGGGGGAAGGAGGCCCACGCCCCCACCCGGAAAACCCCCTTTGGAAAGTGGTAGAAGTACACGGGGAACGCCACGAAGGACAGCGCGGCCGTCCTGGAGAAGAAGAGGATGTTGGCCCGCCCCCCCAGAAAGAGGAGCGGAAAGTATTGGTAGAGCTTCCCCATCCGGTAGACCCCCCCTTTGGGGGGGGGGGGGGGCAGAGTAAGTGTACCGGAAGAAGAAATATATCTCACCCAGCGGCAGCGGCGGCGGCGGCGGAAGCAAACGATCGCGATTTTCGCGAAGCAACAAGCTTTCTACGCGATGTGGCGTACCGACAAAAAAACTGTTGAAAAGAGTCCCGGAGAAATGAAACAGCGCTTTCGTGGTGGGTACTCGCCACCACGCCACCTGACCACCGCCGTCTTCGTTCCCGCTTGACACGCTTGAATGAGCCAGCCCACGCTCTCACACAACCCTGTTGTTGCTCGACATACCTGGAGAGAGGTGGTCATGGTCTTGCCGTAGAGCCAGTAGGACCACGCCAACAGGCACGCGTTGTACACCGTGTAGAAAACCACCATCTGACATGGGGGTGATTTGAGCATCATCATGCGTGAGGGAGGGCGGCCATAAAACCAAAGCGCAAGCCAAGTTTCAAGGGGCAGTGGGGGAAATATGGGGACCGACAAAACATGGCACACCGCCGAGAGAGCAAATTGCAGGTAGGTGCGGGCGGGCAAGGCAGCTTGGTCTACAGCTGTCGTTAAGGAAGAGCCGCAGGAGTTCTTTCGCACGGCGCGCGCCATCTCTGGTCAAGGCAAGTTCTCTCGCATCGTGCTGCCGTCCGCCATCGGGGGTATAGGCGTTTCTGAAGGGGGGGGTTGTTGTTGGCACCCTCACGACCACTATAACTATTCACCGCACCTCGCTCGGTGGCACATGTCACGAAATGACACCGTTTGACGGGACATAGCCGGTGACGTGCTCAGTGCTTGCCCAGCACTGTCCCATGGGCAGCAAAAAGAGGGGCCGACAGGAACATGCCTCACAACAAAACGGCGCAACGCCCTCTTCCCTCTGTCCACCAAAAGCACAACCGCTAGACCGTATCGCACCCCGTGCGCTTTGCCCTTCCCTCAAACACAGAACATCCAGGAGAACACGTGACGAACAAAATACACCCCCAATGTATTCCTAGCGATAACAACATGATTGACAGCACTGCTTCTTCACCTGCATGATGTGGCCCATTATGAACGGCCCGACCGGCTTGTTGCGATTTCGCAGGTGCTCGATCGGCAAGCCCAGCCACGGGTACGAGAGGGCAAGCATTTGCTGTTGACACAAGCACAAGGCGAACGGGTGGCGGTACGTGAAGGGTGGTCGGACCACAATACAGCAGTGGCGTTCGCCGAGGGAATAAAAAGGAAGCATCCTCCCCACATCGGTTGCCGAGTCTAAGAAGACATGAAAACACATACCACCACCAAAGCGTCGTTGGACGAAATGCCGTGCGCACCACACACACGTGTCAACTGCCACCCTTCGCGGACACACCGCACAGAGCCCACCGATCGTCCACGCGACTCGCCTGGTCTACGGGCCCTGCTCTCTACCCACACACGACCGAGGGTTGAACGAACACGCACGGCACGCGCCGATCAACCCACCTACATGCGCCCATGTAATCACCGGTCTCTTTACGCAACGAGTGGTATTAGTAGTATCGGCCGTTTTATTCCTGCGAGAGTGTCACTCGCACATCCTTCCAGCAGAAACAAATGCATCAGCAATTGCATAGCGTGTAGCAGCCTTCAGCTGGCTCGATAACCAACAACAACAACAACAACAACAACAATATTGCTCCTGATTTGACAACAATCCCAAAGGCTACCGTACCGCCCACAACTCCGAGACCACAACCCACCTGCATGTCCACGCCCTGGAGCCCCATCCGCTCCAGCAGCATCACCATCGGGAACATGATCACCACCCCGGAGCTGAGCAGCGTCCTGACGGTCAACGCCGTGACGGTGGACATGAGCACGAACGCCACCAGAGACCGCACCAACACCTGGCTCTTGAAGGCCACCGCCGAGAGGACTCTCATCAGCCCGGAAGACGGGTCCGGGTCCCTCGACCACATCCACTCCCCTCCCGTCTTTTTGGATAGCGGCGGCGTTCGATCATCCCCCCGGGGTGTCGTTTCCGGCATCCCCCCGCCAGACCGGATATGCGGTTCCGTTCCGTTCCATTCCGCACCGTTCCGTTCCGTTTCACGCCGGGGAAACGTCGATGGAATGACGCATCCCACACGGAGGACAAAACAAGGGTGGTCAGTCATGGAGGCGATTGGTAACGTGGTGAGAAAGGGAGTGAGTTGGGGCAGGGGAAGGGAGTTTGGGCAGGAGAAGGGGGTCCGCCTAAAAGAACCCTGATGGCTGCTGTTGGGGTGCATTGCTCGCTACCAAGAGTATCGGGGCAACGGGAACGCAATGAAGAAATCCCGCTCGTTGGGTTTTTCGAAAGGACGAAGGCACTTGGAGAACAAACAAGGCCACAAGACCTGTTGCGCTGCCACACATGCCGCCATCTCTCTCTCCCTCCCTCCCTCCCTCCCTCCCTCCCTCCCTCCCT